TTTTTTTTTTAAGTTCAGCATTTCCCACATAACTTCAGTGAAGGAGATAATATTATCTCAGTTAGTAACAGATACAGTGGACAGAGCTAGTAGCAGACTTGGAAGCATTCTGTACTATAGGTGAAAGCATACAGGTAATTTTAATCTAAAGTACTCATTTCAGTCCATGGAATTTAATCCAGGAGTCTAGCAAGCTGAGTGAAAGAATGAAAGGCAATGCCCCCATGCTTCTGTGGGATTAATGGGATGCTTCATTAGAAGACATAAGTCTTGTTCCATTCACGGCTAACCTGCCAGGTATGGAACTCTTCTGTCTCCTGCTCACAAATTACACCTCCTTGCAAGAGCCCCATCTTGAGACTTCAGAAGCCTTTGTGACAAGTTGGGATTTGCTTCAGTGTTTTAGCTCACTCTCCAATGGCTCAGCATCCTTCAGGTTTAAATGCGAACCTGCAGGAAGCATGAGCTGTGTTTCTGCTCAGAGGGCTCTTGACTCCGGTGTCCTTCCTTCTTGCACAGGATGTCCTTTGAGGTTTTATGGAAAAGACTGTACACTGATATGCCAGTGTCAGAACAGAGCTGACTGCAACCACATCTCCAGGCAGTGTACCTGCCGCACAGGGTTCATGGGCAAGCACTGTGAACAGAGTGAGTGTGACAGCGTGACACCTACGGGTGGTGTTTCCCCCTGGAATCAGTTTTCCTACACACCAGAAAATATTATGGCAGAAGCCACAACTTTCTAGTGTGAGTTGATTGGCCAGTCACTTATCAGCACACTTGACTTCCCCTCCCAAAGACCAGGCCACCTTGGGATTCTTGCTGGCTGTCTTTTCCCTTAAAACTCTTCTGAGTAACTCCTCAGTGCTCTGGGTGGAGGGCGTGTGGCCACAGGGATGAAGACAGAATTCAGGTTTTACATTTGTTCATCGTAGCTCTCTCTTCCTCTCCTGCTTTTTTTTGGAACATGGCCGCTCAGCTTTAAGAAAGTCAGTCAAGCTTTCTTCATGACAGAGGCCCGGGGCTCTTGCGGAAGGGTCCACCCTCGGTGGGCCAGGCTGGGAGACCGGGGCCAGCCCCACCACCGGCAAGAGAACAAGCTCACGCAAACACTGCCCCCCATTTGTCAGCCTTCCCCAGACAGCACTTTTATCTGTTTCCACTAACAACTCCTCACCTTAGCCTCAACAACCTTCAAGACAGTATATTGTCTTACATTTTTTAGTTGTGAAAATCCCACTCAGGGAGCATATGCTCTGTTGGAATTACTCATCCTTGTTTTTCCATTCCCAGGCCAACAGTTATTCATCTGCTCACAGGGTTAGCAGAACATTAGTCTTAGACTGAGTATTGCCAGGTAGTTTATCATTCCTTTCCTCTGATTCTCATTCAAGATTCAAATGAATAAATAAACGTCTGAGAGTTGTGTGGGGCTCACTCTCTTATCATAAATGACAGGAAAGATGCAGGGCATTTCCTGCTTACTGGGGGGTGTGCCCTTGGGAAAGACTACAGCAAAGATTACTTGGCTGTGGGAGCAATGTGGCCTGGAAAGCAATCA